CATTTTGAAAGACATTTCACAGAAATGTTTGACATGGTAAATGCAATTATTTCCTGTTCAGTCTGAGGAGAGACGACAATATTGTTTCAATCATTAATTTAATCAGCAACTACTTGTTGAGTGCCAGACACTAGAAATACAAGAGTGAATAAGACAAGGACTGTCCTCTACAAATCAAAAGAGTAATGAGATAAATGGATACTGCTGCACACAATGTTTGTGTCCCCAATATTTATATGTTAAATTCTAATGCCCAATGTGATGGTATTTGGATTTGGGGCCTCTGGGAGGTGATTAGGTCATGAGGGGGGAGCCCTCATGAATGGGATTAGTGCCCTTATAAAAGAGGCCTGAGAAAGTTTCTTTGCCTCTTCCACCATGTAAGGACACAGCAAAAAGACAACCTTCTAGGAAGCGGGCCCTTGCCATACACCAAATCTGTCAGTGCCTTTATCTTGGACTTCCCAGCCTCCAGAACCGTGAGAAATAAATTTCTTTGTTTATAAGCTACTCAGTTGATGGTGTTCTGTTACAGCAGCCCAAATTCACTAAGACAGAAATGTAAACCAATTGTTGCAAAAGAAGTGAGTGTGGTCTATCACAGAAGCATGTAGACAGTACAGACGAAAGAAAAGGAGGGAACAGTTCACTTTAAGAAGAGGATTAAGAAAGTTTTCAAAGATGGCAGAGCATGCAAAATGAGTTTGGAATGAAGAATCAGAGGTTGATAGACAGTATATGCAGGCAGTAAGAGGCCTGGGGTGTCATGCCACGCAGGTAAGGATGGGAAGCCTCTAGTTGGAGCTTGGTTAGCAAAGACGTGGAAGAGATCTACAGCAGACAAATGAGAGACGGCCACTTAAACCATTCTGGAGCATTCACAGCTCATCTGATTCTACTTTTAGTCCCTCTTCAGCAGACACTCACCTTTAATGAACTCATCTCCTGCTTGGCCTGCAATACATGTGGCTCATTCACAACTCAGAACAACTATTCTGAGGCTTAACTGTTCCTCTTGCCACGATTATGTTATGCTAACAGTTATGGCCTGACTAAGCCCACCTAGTCTTCAAGTCCCACTGATAAAGATCTCATCTATCTTCTGTCTCCAAATTACAGTAGACTTCAGTTCTGAATACCCCATGTCTCCTCCCAACTCTGGCCCTGTGAGAGTGAAAGAAACACTGCACTTATTTAGTTTTCAGAGATACTGTTTTAGGAAGTATTAGATGGATACCTAAGTCAGACTCCTTTACAAGAAGACTTCTAAAGCCACAAATAATTTTTAAGATAAACATCACAAATATATAATGGCCATGAAAATAAGGAGGGAGACATGAGAATCAATCTGTTTAGTAGGGCTGGCAGTCCAACACCACGACTTGGCTCTTTCTTTTTATGGCATTGTAAATCCCAACATGAGACTTCAAAATGTGAATGTTGACCACACTGAAGGACTGAAAGTCCTGGATGATGCAGAGCCCTGTCGAAGGAGGTCAGAACAAGCACCATGGTCATCTCTCACCCAGGTCTCCAAGCAGGGACAGCAAAGCAGCAGTCAGGTTTATCCCTATGTCCATGGATGTGGGCTCTTAGCTAGGAATCCACTTCCAAAAGCTTTACACTCAAAAGCCTCCTCCACAGCCATGGCTGTCCTCATCATGGACAAACACAATGAAGGCTAAAGCTATTGCAAAAATAAACAGCAAGAAGAACAAAAGGAGCGTGCAAAGCAGCATTCAAAAATATTATAATCTGAATTATAAACCAGGCAGATTAAATGATTAAATTTACATGTGACAAACTCTCTGGCTGCTGATATGGATGGATACCGAGATGGAGTGACTAAATACCACCATTGTTTCAGACGGTTTCTAATTGACACATTCAGATGGTTTCTAATTGGCTTTCCGTTCTGAGGGATACAGAGCAGCCAGGCAATCCACTCTTGGCTCAGATTATTGCCCTGAGTTATCAGTATTTCCCACCTTGGGAACAAATTATGACTCATTTGAAAAACGCCACCCATTACAACCACTGAATTTTGTCCAATACAAGCCCAAAGGACAATACCTTAAGTTTCTTCAGAACAAGAACAAGTATACAGTCTGATTTGGAACATATGATTATGAAAGTGAAAGTTCAAGCCCTTCCTCTCCATCCCCTTGTGACACACAGTCTACATTTCCACCTCCTTTCTTGTTTTCTTTCCAGGAAAAAAAAAAGTCATTTTAAATGTGATAGCGCAATCTTCCTAAAAAATTAAACAATGAGCTGATACCCCCCATTAGGCCTAAAAAAGCCAACGGATTTTTATTTTTTAAATCAGGATTCCAGATTTAAGTTATGTTTGCATTTTTAATTTGATTCAAATTATCTGTCTTGTTTGAGATTTTGGATCTAACAAAGCAAATCTTATAATTGGGCACATTTCTAAAAGTCCCCTAAATATAACTTATGGCAAGGAGATTTTTCAGAATCAGAGAATCTCTGATTTATATTACTTCATAATTGCATTATATAATACTTTGTGATTATTATCTTCACACCTCCAGTGAAGGTGATAGCTACCTTTCCTTGCCAGATGCTGTGTTAAAACATCCTAACAAAAGCAGTATGGAGTATTTTTTAATTATTTCCATTTTATTTCTCAGAAAAGAGACTTCCAGAAGTTCAGTAACTACTTTAGGTTTTACCATTAATTATTAAATGGTTTTGAATACAGGGCTTTCTGATTCCAATATCTGTGGTCATCACCTTAATCATTACCATACTCATCCAGTGAATAATAATTACTAATACTGATTGGTTACTTACTAAGTGTCACACAGTGCTCCTAAGCACTTGACCATATTAACTCACGTAATCCACACAACAACCCTATGAGATAATTACTCTTATCATTAGACCCATTTTACAGATGAGCAAACTAAGGCACAGAGAGGTTAAATGACTTGTCCAACATTGCAAAGCTGGAAAACGATGGAACTGGGTTGCAACCCCAGGCAGTCTGACTCTAGACAGCCCCCATACTTAAGGACTATGCTACAATATCAGCAAGTGGATGTATGCTGCTAATTATTAAGCTTTTTATTTCACTTATATGAAAGCATCTTATTTTTATAATAAACTATTGCCTCTTCAATTATAATCATATCTAATTTCTGGAAAAGAATTTGTAAGTCAGTTATACTGCATTGTCCTGGTTATATTATAACCACTATAAAAACAATAACTTGTTTAATTTTAGTGGAAAAGTCTTTCTCAATATTACTAAATATATTTGTTAAGATTTTCATTTTCAATCTTTTACTTTAAACAGGCTAGTTGTATTCTGTTAGCTAAAGAGAATGGTCATATAAGGTGTCAAAGAGATTTCAGTAAACAAACGAATTAAATATAGCAAGCTAAATGCATAATATCTGATCAAATTTCTACATTGTTCCCTTAGTATTCTGAAATTCAACTATCCGTAAAAAGTATCTGATGTATCTTTCCTCCCCCAAGTGTAAATACCTAAAAATAAAATCTAATAAGAGAATAAATATCCTAGATATCAGAAGCAGAAACCTCATACTTATCGTTGGTGGAGACTGGTATATGCAGAGTGTGTGCAAAACATATGTGTTTTTTCATATTTCATTTAAACATAATTTTCTCAAATGGAAGAAATAAATTTGGGTCATGAATTAAAATTAAGTCTGATTTTATTACTTATCTATTAGGTGAATAACATACAAAATATTAGGCTGTATTATCCAATTTAAAAAGAAAATTATGGTTACAAATTTTTCCAGCTCTCTGCTTGTAATATTAGTCAGCCACAGACCAAATCATCTATTTTTATGGGGTTTACAGTTAACTAATAATTTCACAATACCATCTCATTTAACCTGTAATCTTATGATTTAGGTAAAGCAGAAATTCTTCCACTCATTTTGCAGACAACAAAACTGAGGCCTAGAGATTTAAGGGACTAGTCAGATGATAAACGTTGGAGCTGAAATTAAAATTAAGGTCTTCTGATACTGAGTATAATTCCCTTTCCTTAACAGCATAAACATCATATGTCAATTACCATATGATACTTACGTATGAGGATGCATATCAGCTGCCCTTTTGGGTAAAACTACAATAAAATTGAACTGTTTCAAAATATCAAACTAGGTAAAAGTTTTAGGCTTACATTGCCAGATTTATATGATATTAAAGAACTGAAAGACATTAAATCTTTTTGAGAGACTTTTTGTGTGTGTGTGTGAGGAAGATCGGCCCTGAGCTAACATCTGCCAATCCTCCTCTTTTTTCTGCTGAGGAAGACTGGCACTGGGCTAACATCCGTGCCCATCTTCCTCCACTTTATATGGGACGCTGCTACAGCATGGCCCGCCAAGCAGTGCGTCAGTGTGCTCCCGGGGATCTGAACTGACGAACCCCGGCCGCCGCAGCGGAGCACACGCTCTTAACTGCTTGCGCCACCGGGCCGGCCCCTTTGAGTGACTTTTTTTATTCAGTTAAGAGAGGTAAAATTCTATACTTCTAAATTCTTCCTATATAGATACATATATACTACCAAATTAATATATATACATATATATTATAGATATATCTTAACCTGGTCTTTCATTTTGCAATTGGTTGGTACATAGACTAAATCTAGCCATATTTCATAACAACAACACAAACACATGTATTTTGCACATTTTCCATTAAAAGCATATACTCTGGGGCCGGCCCTGTGGCTTGGTGGTTAAGTGCGCGCACTGCAATGCTGGTGGCCCGGGTTCGGATCCCGGGTGCGCATAGAGGCACCACTTCTCCGTCCATCCTGAGGCCGAGTCCCACATACAGCAACTAGAAGGATGTGCAGCTATGACATACAACTATCTACTGGGGCTTTGGGGGGAAAAAATTAAATAAATAAAATCTTTAAAAGCATATACTCTGTTGAAAATCTCAACGTACAACCACATGGTTGATACTGAATAGAAAATACCTACTAGTGAAGAGCCTCAGTGGTGTACATCATGATGGGAATGGATACACTTCAGTCAATCCATGGTGCACTGAGCAACTCGTAACCGAAATATGTGCCATCACTATTCAGATCTAGACAGACACACAAAGAGATGACAAAGTCAGTCAACAAATATGATTTCACATCATTCACACAGAAGTATCTTCTCAACCTGTAGCATTAAAAAAAAAGATGTTTGACAGGTAATCCAACAGAAGGGCCTTAATTGACACCCCTCTGTTTTCCACACAATGCATAGTATAGCAGTGGAAACACATTACGTAGTCAGTAAATAAGTCTGATTAAGAAGCAATAAATTTAGTAATAAATTGGTATAACATTACTGGAAGGCTATATGTTTGTCAACAAGAAACAAAACAAACAAAAAGAGGTCTGATGTGGAATTCTTTTTAGGGCTTATGTGCTGAGCATTATATCATCCCTGTGTATGAAATTTCATCTAGTCTTCACAATAAAGCTGCAAATGGAGGTAGTCTCTTCCCTTTATAGCATTTAAGGCTCAGAGGAGGAGAGCAATGGCCCAGGGCTCTGAACTCTACGTCCATGCTCTTTCACCAAATCATGTGGTGTATTAAGAGCACGTACATCTTCCTGTGCTTACCTGTGCTCCCTCTGTCCTAAAAAATGAGTAACAAATATCAAGCGAATTACGTAAAGACACATCTCATTGGTCTCCGTTTCCCCTGTAGTTCTCTGGAAGACAAGCATGGTACCATACTCATCTTTGTACGTCAAAATACAAAGTGAGATGTCGTTGTGGGATACAGTCTCTGGCACATATAAATATCTACTGAGTCAATGAATGAATAAACAGCAACAACAAAAGCAGGAACTGGCATATATTTTTTGTCTCAATTTACACTTTTGCTTCATCAATCCTTTCACTTGCCAAAGCTATCTTCCTGTTTGCAACACAATCTCAAGAGAAAAAAGTAAAAAGAATAAGCTGAAAAATCATGTGAATGAAGTTCAAATATATGCATTCAAAGAATTACAAGCTAGTTAGTAGTCAGTTTAATTTAGTTCCATTGCATAGGTTCCTGAAGAACAGCAAAAGGTTAAATAATAAAGAAATTTTCCAGAGAGAGAAAAAAAATCCACCTTTCACTTCTAGATCAGATATCAGCTTGCTAACAGAACCTAACCACCTTCCCTATGGCCAGATCCCAAGGGGCAAAGACTACAAATAAAGGAGAAAATGGAAACTGTTAAAGACTCTAGGAAGAAACTTCATGATCACAAGGAACTAGGAAAAGCTGCTCTGGATGGGAGATGCTGTAGAGAAGAGCCAGACTGAAGACCCCGATGGTCAGACCCCAATTTGCCCCGCAGAAGAAACGGTGCCACAACAGAGCAGGGGTTGGCAAACCACAGCCTGCCGCCTGTTTTGGGGTAGCCCGTGAGCTAAGAATGCTTTTTACATTTTTAAATCATTGAAAGAAATCAAAAGAACCACAAATTATTTGAAATTTAAATTTCAGAGTCTATAAATAAAGTTTTATTGGAATACAGCCACAGCCACTCACTTACATATTGTCTCTGGCTGCTTTCATGCTATAAGGGCAGAGTTGAGAGGTTGTGACAGAAATCGTACGACTCACAAACTCTAAAATATATACTATCTGACCCCTTATAGAAATCGTTGGCTGATTTCTGGTCTAGGGACCTCAATTTGGAAGAGATGATCTTAGAGAAAGTGGGCAGACTGGAAGCAGGAGTGGGAATCCACTTCTCTACAGAGGATCAAGAGGCCCAGGGACAAGGCAATAGCTGCACTGAGTATGGCAGGGCTTTGACTGGGGGCAGCGGGGCTTTTCCTCAGAGGAAGCACTAGAAAGCAGGTTCGACTCAGCCACACTCAATCTAGCACACAGCTGGGCCAATGAGGATGGATGCAGAAAGCTGGCCACCACGATAAGTGCCATTTTCCAACATGGCAGGATGAAGTTCTCATGAAGGAAATCTCCAGGACTCTGACTCCCTCCCTCTCTGCACCAGCCTCCAGAAGGGCAGAGAGATAACCAGCCCTCTTGCTGAAGGTCTGAGAAAGAAGACTACAGAGCAAACAGAACCCTAAGCAGGTTAAAAAACACTCCATCCACCCCATTTGAGGCCAAATAGTGGGCCATATCTAAGGATAGATAAAGGGGTGATGAAGCAAAACAAAGCATAAAGGCTATAAAAAAGAATCTGCTACATAACAGAAGGAAACCATAGCTATCTTTATGGAGAGGAAGCATTTGCATTCGAAAGACATCAAAGAAAGTTAAAATAAGTTTTGCAGAACATCTGCTTTGTGCTCTCAATGAAGTTTGAGACAACATGGAACAAAATCCCAAAGATTTATCTTCAGAGAAGTTAATGAAACCCAAATAAATGAGAAGACACTGAAGTGGTCTCCCATTTAACTATTAATTGCATCTCAGTGAAGAGAAGAGGGGATCTGATCTCAAAGACTTAGGTCTGAACACCAATTCCCCCACATTCTTGCTATACGACCTTGGAAAACTTGCTTTATGTTCAAAGTCTCATTTCCATCACCTCCAAAATAGGATTATTCTGAGAGTTGTGTGACAAAATATGCATAAAATATCCAGCATACCACCTGTCACATGGGAGGTACATGGTATTTACCAAGCTTTTATCTTCTTTCTGGTCTGGCTGTGCTCACTTTCTCACTCTCCTGTTCTAATACTAATTCATCTACCATGATTATTACAGCTATAGACAAACATAGGCTGCCAGACATGCAGGTTTCTCCTAGGCTGTCACACTTGACTTTGTATCTTCTGTTTGTTCTGGGTAGACTACATCTTTTAACTTTGGGCCCTTCTCTAGATAACTGGTAAGTTGGTAAAAAATTGAAAAAAAAAATTAATTCGGAAGTGAATTCTGTAACTGTCTTTAATCCCTTAGGCAGAAATATACAACCACAGCATTCTGTGCACAAATCTGTTATTAGAATTCATACTGTATTATCTGTTTACATATGTCCTTCCTAAGAGCCTATATCTTGATCATCTTGATTGATATAATATCAAGATGACCAACTATGACCTAATGGGGAAGACAGACATGTAAACACACACACACATTTCTAACTATCCACTGGTCTAGCAATGGAGACTGCACTTGAGTCTTTTGACTCTTTTTAAGTAGATACCACCTTCTTCATGCCAGTTGCAACCTGGAGTCTAACAGTGACTTCAGAAACACTAGGTGCACAACAAGCTCTATTATTTGTTGAAAGAATGATGAATGGAAAAAAAAAAGAAGAAGAATGATTAAAAGGTAAACAGTGAGGATTTGATATACAAAAAAATGAACACTTAGCATATTGCTTGTAGCACTGACCATTTAATTATCCTGGAAATCCATCTGGAAACAAGCACAAAAATGGTATGAATCTCTTCATTTATAGAATTGGGTAAATTTTAGAAGTAGTTTCCAATAACAATCTTCCTCCATATTTTGAACATCTACTAAGTGCCAGACTCTGGTAGGTATAACCTCTAAGTAAGCTCTTACTATTCTTATCTTTTCAGAGAAGGAAACTTAAGGTGAGGAAACGAGAATTTTTTTCTTCTCACCTAACATCACACAGACAGTAGAAACGTTAAGTATATCAAATTCTGAAGTTGAGGCATTTCCATATAACAAAATAAGCTTGGTCTCTACTTTGTTAAAAGACACTCTTAACAGAACATTTATTGTGTAAACAGTCAATAAATGGTAGTTGTTGTTACTGCTATTGTTAATACTATAACCCAACAAAAGGGAAACAGTTCAACACTATGGAATGTTACATTATTAAACTCACATTATGCTTTATTGCTATAATAAGTATAAAAGTTATGCTAACGTAAGGAAATATATATATATAAATGCAGAATACAAAATGTTATATATAGGCTGATTAAAATTACAGGCAATTTCATGTAGGGAAGATTAATAAAAATTAGAGGACAGTATACTGAAAATAACGTTGTGTGATTATAGGTAACTTATCTGAAGTTCATCAATTTGAGAAAGTGCAAATTTGCTTGAGTTCAAATTTATGTTTAAAAACAAAAGATAAGGTGTATAAATTTCTAAAAGTGGTGGTAACATCCTAGACCTTCTCCACCATTGAAATCTCATTTTTTCTCTGAGCAAGATAATAAATTACTGCTGTTTTAATAAGAGCTGTTTGTTTGTCTATTTATTTACTTTGCTATTGGAAATGGAAACATTTAGAGGCAGGTTTAAAAAACAAGGATTACTAAAGCAAAGTTTTCTTTGAAATGGAGTCATTTAAACCATCTACTGTACTTAAAATAGACATAGTTTACCTTAACATTTCCCAATTAGCAAAAGCAATCAACATACAATGCTGCCAACTCCCGTACTCAAAGGTTTCATATACATCATATATATATAATGAGAAAGAGCGTGTGCTATTTTAGCAGAACCGCAAAAAAGAGAATAGTGACAAAAGTTATTACCCCAAAAGGGGTAAGAATATCTGACAAGAGCAACAGTTGAGACTCAGAAACATGTTGATGTGTGCTCAGAGAGCCACCCGAGGGCCGACCCTGCCAGAGGACATCCAGCTCACAGGCCATCTGAGTTTCAGCCGTTCCTGTGAAGGCAGTTCTAACCAGCGTCACTCACTCATCAAGCCCCTGATGTCCTTATTCTCATTGCATTATAACAGAACAAAGGCACAAAAAATTGAAAGAATTGTTTAATCAAAAGCATCTTCTATCAAAGAAAGTACAGAAAAGTGACTTTGATTGAATAGCTATGAAACCTAATCATCGGGGAGTCAGCAGCAGCTCCTTCTGGTGAGTGGGTGGCTCTTCTTCCCTACAATGGTTATGCCCAGAGTTTCACACCTCTTATATCCATGGTTTCAGCACACTAATGGTTAGGCCCAGGGCAAATGGTGATATTCCGGATGGCAAATATAAGTGAGCATAAGTGAAGCCATCTTGTTACATTAAATGGCCCCAGCCCCTCCTCCGTGTGGTTATTCACTGTTCTGCATGTACTCTAAAAAAAAATTCACATGCTCTCCTGATTTATGGCC